ATAATATATATATGCGTGGAATATATTTTGAATAACACTTTTAACTTTGCTCTGATCTAATACTCACTTGTAAAATGTACACATATCCTTGTATTTGTCCGGTACTGCCATGCATTCTAGATCACTTAAATTTCTAGTAGCTTGAAAATCGCCGCAGCAAATAAGCAGATCTATCTTCCTTCCATCGATCTTCTCGATTTCCTGTATAGTCTCATAAATAATGTCCAATTCGCCATGAGCGCAACCCTCCACAGCAATCCTCATTTTTGAAACTCAATCGTGAGGTTATAATTTACAATTTCACAGTCAGGTTCACATACGTTCTCTTCGAACGTACGCCTAACAAGTAGAATCACCTAAAACAACTGTAAACAATTCCGTTACGCATATATCCGCACATAATATTTAATCTCTTGTAAGAATGTAATCGTGAACAACCCTATGATTTTCAGCGCAATAGACTGGAAAGATATTTAGAATTAGGGCTTTTGCACACAAAAGAAACTTAAGCAAATGCAGGATTCACATTGCGTCCGACATCTGATGTACGACATCTGTAGCGCGATTCTGTAACTCGTTATGACAATATCGTTATCGTTATATCATTGTTGCGCAGTTTTTTTCCCATATATTATACTTGCGCAACGACGACGCATGCGCATGAAAAGAAGAGGAAAGTCGGCAAAAAAATAATTCAAAATAAAATAAAATTATACAAGGCTATTATGTTATTTCCACTTTTAACTTGTTTTTGTATATTTTATCAAATAATCACATTAATAAGAAAATCTCAATCAGAAAATTATTAGAGAATAGAACTTATTTTTATTTCGCTGTCTACATATTGTTTACAATTTTAGGCTTGTCAACGCTTTTTATATAAACGAAACTACATATTTTTTTTATATTTTTTGTATTAATTATTGTATAACAATTTTTTTCAATAATGTTTACCTCCAAGTATATAAAAATTTCGGAATTTTCTTATTATGTTGTAGCAATAGATATGAGATATTAAAATTCTATTTGCTAATCACAAAATGAATACAATACAAAACTAATGTTTTTAAAGTGCTATGAAACAAATGGGATTGAAAATTCAATATACAAGACGATTCTTAACTTTAAAAAGTAGACTTTACATTTTATATTTGTTCATAGTCATAAGCAAGAAATATTTAAAATATGTCATATTGCTAAAATATATCTTATATTTTGTGTATGTTATAAAATTTTATACTTAATGCTGTGCACTATTAAAAGAATATTGAGATCGAATTTGTCGTGATTATTTTACAAAAATTCTTCACACCAATCAGTGAGGCATTGATAACAATCTGTTGACTGTTTTGCATTCGCTGAGCACGCATCCTTCATCCATTCTTGAAACAATTCCTTATTTTTCTTTAACACTAAGTATTGTCCCAGAACTACATATGCCTACAAAACAGTATTCAAATAGAATTATTAATTTATATTGATTTAATTATTAATAACAAGATAAAAAATTATAAATATTATCAGAATCTTTTAATTTAAATCAGTATAGGTCAATCAGAATAATCTTGCAATTTCAACAAAAGTATGTCCTGTCTTTAAAAAAACTATTACAATTAGAATATTTTTTTAATTATAATAAAATATTGAGAGCAATTTTAATCAATCTTTTATTAACTCATTGATAATTTTTATTAATAACTCCATCCAGCAGAATCCATTTACAATAAAAATTCTAACTATATAAATTTATAATTTAACATCATAAGTAAAATAATATTAGCAATTAGATCAACATTTGCTTACAAAGTTATTCTAAAAGTAATTTATAGAATAAGATATATCTTAAGATATTTAAGATATAAATATAAATAAAAATATTTCAAATAATATGTATCATATACAGATGTATATAAAAATACTTACTTTATCAAAACCTGCAGCTTCTAATCTCTTTCCTAGAACTTCTCCAACACCAGCGAGCTCGGTCACAGATTTATCACCCATTGGCTCAGCTACAAAGTTCCGATGTTTTTGTGATGTAGTGGACATTTTGATCTGTAATATTGAATTTTTTTTCATTTCTCATCCTAATTTATCATTAAGCAAAGCATTTATTCTTTTAAACAAGAAATTGCATCTTTAAAGATTCACTACACTGTTTTGGCCTTATAACCTTGGCGCAATCACATGTCAATAATAATCTATCAGATTAACAGTAAGGAATTGTGTATAAAAAACCAGATAAATGTAGCAAATAAATTAAAAATATTATAAAGGAAAATACAAGAAAGAAAGGAATGATTACCTGTTGATTCCTAAAATTCCTTCTCGATTCCCAACTTCGACTAATATAACTTTGCCGAATTATACGATACTATTCGGCTACTCTTTTAGTATATGAGAAAATGATAACACGCTATCTAATCCTTCGAAAATGATTCACACAATCAAAAAGCTGCTCCGCACAATGCAACTGAAAAATATTTCCTTCGATATCTTCAATGAATCAGACAAATACTCTTCTTTGATAACGCCATCAATAAGATACTATTAAAAACCATCAACTCAGAGAGAAATTTGAGAGCGGTCGTCTCGGCCTTTTTCGTGACACCGTCAAAATCGCCATACACTTCCGCCACCAAAGTCTATAATTAAACATGGAACTATAAGTCACATCCATTTACGACATTGCCGATTGAGTCTGAAGGAGATAATTGAAGAATACCGATATTATCGATATTGATATAAATTTATAAGCATTATATTAATAAAATGTTTTCGGTAATAAAAATTTATGCATATTAAAAATATCGACCATACTGATTATATCATAATCTGGCCAACCATTTGAAATTTTTTTTCAAAGCAGTTTAACAGGAAATTGGATAGATAAGTAATAACACGTTAATATTATTTTAAACTTTAATCACTAAGAGCGATTCGACCAAATTCCTATTAATTTAATCAGTATTAATTTAATCAAATAAAATAAGTTGCAAATTCAAGCAAAATTTCTAATTATTTTATTCATTATTTTATTCATATATAATTTAACTGTTTTTCTCATGAATATAAAATTAAATAATTCTATACTAATAAAATAGTATAGATTTACCTATAGATTTACTTAATAAATTAATCATTAATTGGAATTTGATTAGGATTATTTAAGATCAAACTCTTGATTCTTAACAGAGAATAATAAACATTGTTGTTGTTTTTAATATATGGAAACAAAAATTAAATTCAAAACAACGAATTATATAGTTAAAAATTTTGCAATAATTCTGGCGGTTAAATTAATTACTGATTAAGTTAATTAGAAGATAAACAAAGATAAGTCAAAGTCACCCTACGACCATATTTTTCTCCATAATAACTGTAATGGAAGCATGCCATTTCTCCTTTGTAATGTCGGATGGAAAACATTGAAATTTACTTTCCTTAGTTCTTCTAAATAATTTTCCACACAAACTGCTGGTAGAAATATTACATTAAGATCTTTTCCCGCTGTTCTTTTAAGCGACGTCGCCTAAAACAAGAAGTAACTTTGTGCAATTCCAGAACTTGTGATTTTTTTCAACTAAATATGAAAAATATATAAAATAAACTGTAGATTGCGAATCGAGAAAAAAGTCGACTTATTGTCAATTAAATAACGAATGTACTATTGAATTATCTTAATAAGCAACTACCATTTCCAGATGTTGTTTGGCACAAGATGCAACTTCGAATATCGCGTCTTCAAATCCAGCGCTTGGATGTGCCTGAAAGACGGATTCGGAGGAGACGCCGTTTTTCAGTAGAACGTCCTGTGGCAATACCATAACTCGTTTTCGGGCGTTATATGGCACAGAACGTAGCAAGGTGACCAGACCGTGCGCTTTGCCGAAATGACTAGCTACATGATCGGCATTGATGCTTGCTGTATTTTGGGCCTCTAGCAGCAAGTAATAGATCGACGACACAGTATAGTCACAATACTTCTCGAGCGAGTCCACATCCACAAATACTGAGTTGTTTAACTTGTTCAAACGAGCATCAATCAAGCGTTTGAAATAGCGTTTAGAAAGCTTGTGCCGCTGAAGAATCTGCAAGATGTGAATGACTCCTGATTCTCAGCAACATCATGAAAAAAATTATATCATGCATTCTATTCATCTACTCGGTATAATTCCAATGCCACTGGACTCCTTGGTGGATGATCGTTATAAATTTGATTAAGAGCGTTTGTCCAAAATTGCAATCGCATAGCACCTATCCTATTATCGCTCACTTGATCTTCCACTTGTGCCACTTCGACATTAAACGCACGTATAGCAAACGCTGCTGATTTAACATTACGTGGAAGTAATAGTGTACATAGAAAATTCTCATAATCATTTTTCCTAAAAAAAATATGTGTAGATAATTGAAATGGATTTCAGCTCACAATGTTGTAAACTTTAAGTACAAATATATATTGATGTATTCTACAAGAAATTTTTATTTTTACAGCCAATAAGATTATAATGTGCAAGAGATCTAAGTATATTTAATTATTCAGAATTGAAGTTACAAATTTTAAAAAATCTAAGTTCATTAAAATATGTATCGACATAATAACATTTAAAATATATTAACAATATTATTCTAATAAATATAAAGGCTCTTAAAATTTAAACAAATGAGAAATAAAGATCAAATAAAATCCAGCATTGTTAATGTTGTACAATATAATATATTATTTTTTTATAAATGCTATTTTATTAATACTGTTTCACATATTAGAATATATAATACACATGGATATTAAAAGTACATATATGTACATATGATTGCGACTTTTGTTTACATTCATGCAGCTACGATTTAAGTAGCAAAGACAAGTACCTAACCAGCTGCAAACAATATTCAGTCGGAGTTTGTTTTTGTCTTACACCAGTTGTATTCATACGTCGCAGCTGCGATCGTATGTTTTGCTTAATAATAGACGATAATTTATTCATTTTCTTTTTATTTTACAATTTGATAATGTTTATTGAACCTAGCAATATAAACAACCACACAATAATCCTAACGGGAATAATGATCGAATAATAAAATTGTCCATCGTGACAAACGACGTAATGTTTTTTCGTTGTACAATTTCAAATAAAAATATTTTCAATAAAAGTAACCTAACCTATAAACATCTAACCTGTATCAAAGATAAATTGTAGACAAGTTGTATTAAAGGCAACTTTTCACATGTTGCGGCAGCAAAATATCACGTGATTTAAATTCTGAAACTGCGTTCCATTGGTTGCTCATAAAAAGGCGGCAAAATTTTTAACCAATAATAACAAACTGCTGTGTATGAAAAGGTAACTTAATGTATTTTCTCGTAAGTTCCTAAATTCTAAGCCAAGGGCCGATATTGCAGGTATCAAAGAAATCTATATGTTGGCGACACTACAGATTGACTTGACTGACTTCACTCGCAGAAGTAAATATGGCAAAGTTATTAGGATTAGATAAACTCGCGACGTTATTCCGTATCATACGCGCTCATGGTGGAATTATCAATTCTTTCAAGACATACTTTAGGTTGTTATTCAGTTACATGTTATATTAATAACATAATAATGTATGTGTTTTATATTATATTTGATTGTCATTTTGTTACACTTAGCATTGTGTAACTCTGGATTTGTGACTTACACCTTCAGTTTTACTGGCGTACTATAATATTTTTATAGAAAAAAATTATGCAGAAGAGAAAATATATATAAATAGATTTTTTGGTTTTTTTTATCAGTCTACTGGATTATACTAAATTTCTTTCTCGTTTTTTGAACTTGAAGTATCTATTTTATTTCTATGATGTATGCTAGTTCTGCTGAAGAACAAACTTATATATATTTAATTCTTCCAAATTAACGCAGTTAATTTGAAAATCTATTTCAACAGAGTGGATGAATTGAAGACCGGTACCTTGATTGGAACAGATAAGTATGGAAATCGATATTATGAGAATAATGCTTATTTCATGGGTGAGTTATTGAATGTATTAGAATATTATGTATTACTGAATATAAGTATTAAATGATCTAATGAAATATGAATATTTATATATACATATAGATACTCTTGATTGATACTCTTACAAAAAAATATTAACTTTTGTTTTTTATTGATATTTGTAGCTTTTTATTTTCTCTCTTTTTTCTTCAATATCTAATTTATTTTAAGAATTAGAAAAAATATATTCAGCTATAGAGCAAATATTTGAATCTCTGAGAGCATGCAATGTAATTAAAATAGATAAGCAATTAATATCTGCTTATATATTATTTGATACTCTCTATAGGCCGAAACAGATGGGTAATATATGCAGATAAAGTTGGATTTAATTATGATGGCTCCCAAGTTCCAGCTGAATGGTTTGGTTGGTTACATTACAAGACAGATTTACCACCATTTGAAGATCCATCTCGACCGAACTACAAGTGGATGATAGATCATCAACAAAATATGTCTGGCACTGATCAAGCTTATATGCCTTATAGTACGACAAAACCAAAGATTGAACCTTGGAGGCCACCGCAATGACAAATTTTATTGAGTTAATAGTGACATAAAGAGTGAAGTATAATAATATTGAAGTAAAATATTATTTGATGTAAATAAAATTACTACATCAAGATAAAATAATATTTAAAGAGATATTTAAAAAAATTGTTTTTATTTAGCCTTTTTCACTGTTTTGTAGCAATTGCTTGGTACTATAATAATATTTAAAATGAAATATTACATAGTAATTAAGCAGCAAATGCATTTAATCAATTTCTAATTTTGAAACATAGGAATGAAAATAATATATCTATTTATAAATTTTTTTTAAACATTTATTTAGATTTTGTTTGAACTAGGACCAATACTGTTCTATATCAATTTCGTTTGCTCTGATCTCATCTGTACATTGTCCATACATTGTTTTAAATATGCGATCCGTTTTTTTAAATTATCCTGTATACTAAAATTTTCATGAGAAATTGATATAAGATTGTATCCTCTGGCTTTTAATAATTGTGTGTATAAATATACCGGTCCTATAAAGTCGTTTTGTCCTATGCAATAATCGTAGTAATCATGCACCATTATTGCTATCCTGAAATAATTACATTGATTAAATTTGCGTTTACACTTAATGTTATGATTGAAATTTTTAACATTTTTCTTATTAGAAATGAATAAAATTATGTGCCAACTTTACTAAATTATAATTTTCATCGTTTTATTAGTATTCATCGTTTTATTTTAAAGATAAAATTAATATTTATCTCTTCTTATTAGATAATTTGTACGAAAAGACTTACCTTCGTACATTTTCCGACTGTTTGTTCCAATCTTCCACTTTTACAAGCCTATACTGATCATTTATACGATATTCTGCATCTAGAGGATCAAGGATTTTGTTTCATCAAGATTAATATATTATTATTATTTATTATTATTTAGTCACAATAAATTCTACTTTATTAAGAAAGAAAAATTAAGGTTAATATATATTTTCACTAAGTTTACTTAGATATCAATGTGAACACAATAAATGAAAAACAAGATTCCGTGTAATTACAATGTCAGAAATTGAACTTGGTAAAATTATATTGACATTAATTTTTTATTAAAAAAAAACCCACCTATCAAAAAGCCCATGTTTGCATTAATATTTGTTTTAAAATAAGACGAAGATGGTAATATTTCCTTTAATGCTTCTGATAAAGCATTTATATTGATTTCTTTTTCCTTTGATTTACCTATAGATACATTAAACATTTCTGAGTTCTTTTCCAAAAAAGGCCCTGTAATTCAAAAGACTAGTAATATCTAGAATTATGAAAAGAATGCCGATACATATAGGTAATATTCGAAGATATACCTTTGTAATCCTTTAATACAAACTGTGCAACAGCATTGATATTTAATAATTTTAATATCTTTGACACATTTAGCTGATCATGAGCTAAAAAAATCAATATTAATATTTCTGAAATAGCAATGAATTATAGCTATTATATAATATATAGATACAAACTTTTTATTAATTTTAGAAATTTAGGTTCCAGTACAGATTTTATATGTTGCGATTGCGCTGCATCCAAAACTGCTAAGGACCAAACGATATCCAACCATTCAACACAAGTCGTTTGAAATCGATTTGCATGCTCTGCAAATGTCTAAAAAAAATATATATGTTAATAAATATATATCTATATCAAAGAGAAGATAAAAATTAGTTATTAGATAGTCTTTTCTTTTAAAGTTACAATGTGTGTGTGTGTGTATGTGTGTGTGTGTGTGTGTATGTATTCTCAATATACCCGAATAAATAAATTTGCTTTCTTCGATTTATGTCGCAGAGCCGCAAACGTTTGCAGTATTGATGAATAATCCAGAAATTTGTAATTCATTGATGTCATAAAGAACGTATCACAGAATGCATCCAGTACATTTTCATTTTTGTAATGTAAGAATCCTAGAGATGTTATTATGGATTTGTTTATAGCAGCGTTGTTGTTTCTTGGTATACATATCATTAAGTCAGATGTGATTTTTTCCAATAGAACCTGCATTCATTTTATATTTATAATATTTATAAACCAGATAGCTTTTTTTTACGATATAAAATAGGTGCGTACCTTATCTGGAAAATTGAGTACAGCCATGCTGTATAACAAAGTTGCACATTGCTTTATATCTAATGCTACGTTGTATTTGACAATATTGTACGATAACATTTTCAGCAATGGAGTATTTCTCTTTCCTTGTTCTCGCAATGATGCTATCACCTTCATCATATAAAAATGTGAATACACATACATATTCAACATACAAACATTATACCTACTGCAATTATTGCAAAGCTGATAACTGCAAACATTGCAGGTATAAAGATACTAATACTGTAGAAATATATCAATATATGTATACACTTGTATACACTTAATACATAGATATTATACTTACTGCAATCATTGCAGGTGTAGATAACTGTGAATATTTTGATAGATCACTCGATAATCTGATATTATTTATCTCATCTTTGTTTTGAACTATTTTTCTGAGATGAATAAATCTTTCATCATCTTCAATGTTTATTGTTTGCAATTTTCCACTATTTATCTGATTAGTTATACTTGATATCAGTTTTAAAGCATTAGTTACAGTTAGACTTGGCAATACTGCCAGATCTAACAAATCCTCTACTGTCTTGGCGACTTGAAATTGTTTGGAAAATATGTCGCTTCCATTCCATTGTTTCCTTCTATCATTCTTTTCCTCTCTCGAATGAAGCACCTCATTAGAAGTCTGCTCTTTTATTTTGTTTGTGATGTTTTGCATTTTTAAAAATTTATCCTCATTGTCTTCCTACAAAATAAATCACTACATAATCTTTCTTGTTGAAGGATTCAATCAAACATTAAAATAAAACAAGAATTATTATAATCAGAGGTTGTACATATAATAAAAAAAAAAGAAATATGACTAAATCGCTGTCAACTGCACTTTACATTCATAGATACAGCGGACTGCTCGCCGGTGATCGCCGTGCTGGAGTTGCAAGCCATGAGAGCAGTAAAACGCCAAGATGCACGGGGTGTAAACCTGGCGGTCGCAGTATACAGCATCGCGCTGAACTGCAGCATTGTCATCAATCTAGAAAATGGTTATTTATGTAATTGCAGTCAGGGATGATCGAGAGCATTAACAATGTCAATTCTCATTCTTCGATTCGCGACATTCGCGCGAAGCGGCTGTAACACATTCATTATATGTTACTTACATTACGAAAGAGTGGAAGGACAAATTATATAAATAACGTTATTACGAGAGGAGACAGTTATTATGAATTATCTCCGCTACCTCAGGTGTGCATGTTTAGGTTAGACGATCACCATACACTTGGTCATAGATGCAGAGAGATTGAGAGATGATCACGTGTACGATTTGTACGATGTATCGTGAACTTCATACAGGCTGCGTTTCGTAACTTACTGGCAGTACTGCCAACATAACATCATTATAGGGTGCGTTCCTTTATTTACTTCGAGTACCGTCAGTACTACAAATAGCATTCCGATATAGAGAATAGTGCACTCCGAAAGTACTTGAATTCTATGATTTGATCATTGATTTTGACGTACTTCCTATTGCGGCCACTGCAATCAGTGAGGTAAAGCAGTTAGAGCACAAAGATCGCTGCTGCCATGGAGATTGAAATGATCCTGGAATGAATTTCGGAACAGCATTACAGTACTGTCATTACAGTACTGACAGTGAGTTATGGAACGCAGCCACAGATCGAGATAAAAATCGTATGCTCCATTATGTATCTCGATTTATTTCAAAAATATTTATAAAAATAAAAATAAAGTATTATTAAAAATAATATAATATTAATATTAAAAATATATTAATAAAAATATTAAATTCAACAGTGAGTTATAATAATAAAATTTGTATTTAATAATTTTACAAAATGTTTTAAAAAATGTGTGTTCTAAAAGAAAATTGCTTGAAATAAATTAAGAAACTATCTGGGAAAAGATCTGAAAAGATTGTTCAGATTTTTCCAAAATTATTTTATCTCGTCATTTTATTTTA